CAGGCACAAAATCTGTATTCACTTAACTGCTTAAAAACTTTGGGAGAAGTTAAGACATTCTCAGATTAACAAACATTGAAAATGTTTTTTTATCACTAGAGTTGCACCACAAGACATATTAAGAGGAGACACATAAGTCAAAATGAAGACATTAGAGAGTAACTGAAAGCTGTATAAAAGTGTCAGTAAAGACAAATCTGTTGGCTGAGGACTAGTGCTGATAGCCAGGAGGGTGCCTCAGGAGCGGAGTGTGATCCTGAAGCTTTTGCAAAAGTCAATGTGATTTAATTTTTAGCAAAGCAGAATCAGAGGGTTGCAGAAAAAAATCAATGAAGAAATCAGTTCCTAGAATCCACTGATAATGCCAGTACAACAAGTCAGAACCTATGATACACAAAGAAAGAAGCATGGCTGTGAACGCCCACATCAAGAAAACAGAGCAAATCCAAATAACCAAATGATACACTCATGGTCCAACCCGAAGTCAAAGGTAGTAAGCACAAGCAAGGAAATTATAAAAACCAGAGCAGAACTGAATGAAATTGAGACTAAAAAGCAATACAAAGAATCGATAAATCAGATAAATCGATAAATTCATTCTTTGAATGAATAAACAAAATAGATAAACTCTTGGCCAATTTTACTAAAAATAAAAGGCCCATTCAATACAATTAAAAATGAAAAATATGAAATCACGATGGATACCACCAAAATCCAGATTATTAACTTCTTTGAAAACTTGTACCCAAATAAATTAGACACATGAATTACCAAAACTGAACCAAGAAGATATAAAAATCTCAAATAATTCAATAACAGGCAGTAATAAAACAGTTACCAACTAAGAAAAGCCCAAAACCCACTGGATTCACTGCTGAATTTTATAAAAACTTAGGGAAAACCTAATCCAATTCTCTTCCAACACTTTAATGAAATTGAAAAGAAAGGATCACTCTCCAAATCATTCCTGGAATCTAGCACTACCCTGATTCTAAAACCAGACAATCTTTTTCCAGTCAAAAAAGAAAACTACAGTCCATTCTATTTAATGAAAACAATTGCAAAAATCTTCAACACAATACTGGCAAACAATGCAACAAATCATCAAAAGGATCATATATCAGGGTCATACATCGTATCATTTCATGATGATATCAAGCCACCTATCCTTTATCTCCATCATGATATCTTATGCAGAGGTGAGGAGGGCCTCACCTCACTCCAGTGCTGACAGCTCCCCCGAGACCACTTCCATCACTCTACATGGGTGCCCTTTGTTCCACTCAGGGAAGCAACTTCTCACTTCAGGGCATCTACCAACACCCATCCACCACGGAGGCTTTCTCAGCCTATGGGGATCCCAAATGTGTGGTGAGCACCCCTACTCCCTGGCTTGTACTACCTAATGGGCTTTGCTCTGAATTATTCAGGGAGAAAGGACAGAATAAAGGATGTGTCATAGTTTTTACGTTCAGGTGGACCTGCCTCTCTTGATGATAAAAACAAGTTCATAAATGAATAAATCACAACTTCTATTTGACCTGCACAATACACGAGGGAGTTGGTCAAACTCGGGCATATGGGTAATAAGAGATTTAAAATCATAAAGTATTCTGTCATAAGAATGATGTCTAAATAAATCACAAAAAGTATATCCTGTACTTTTCTATCGAGATGTTAACTACTCTATTAGACATGAAATTCCTCAGAGAGAAATCCTTAAAAATAAGAACTAAGGGCTGACCTTTAAATTTAGTCTTTTTTATTTTCTGTTTGAGAAAAGGCTGTTTTTTCAGACTTTAGTTGACTCACCTAATGGGGTTTATCTCATGGGAAGCCATATTATTTATTGACTGATCACACACCGGTGACTGCTAATGCATTTCATTAATAATGTTTACTTGCTCACTCTGAGATGTCTGCTCATTTTCTGTAAACATGTAACCCACTTAATAATATAATTAAAGGTTTTCTTAAAGAAAGTACATATGACTGGTATTAGAAATCTGAATTTTACTTTTAGGGAAATTAATTTGCTTGATATTTAAAGTAATATTGAATTTATCCTAGGAAAGGTCTACTGTTACTTTTCATAAATATATACAGGCACCTGGAAATTCAGATTTTTATTATTTAACAACTCTTTATCAAGTATCTATTATGCATACAGCACTGAGTAGGAGGTTAGGTGGGAATATTTTTAATAGCTAAGATTTTCCAGAATTATCATATGTCAGTACTTATATTAAGTAGATCATTCTTAGAGTCTCATTTAATTTTTACAGGTCATAGAAACTATTCTTTTTCATATTGCTGAATGAACAGATTGACATGATTAGAGATTTTAGAATGACTTTCTCTTGATGATACAACTGTATGGAAAAATGCTGTCATTCATTCATTCTACAGAACTTATCAAAAACTTTCAATGTGCCAGCACCATGATGAGTTCTAGGGACAAAGCAATAGACCAAGAAGAGACCCTGTCATTATAAATCTTGAAGCTGAGTAGAGCTTCAGTCAAATGGACTATCGTATTATTACGACAAAGTCTGACAACCAGTTGGCTGATGATAAGTAAAGAGTTAAAGAGTGAACTTGAGATTTCTGGCAGGAGCAATGAGTACAGGCAGGTGACTCTGCTAAGACAGGGAACTCTTGATCCGCAGCAGACTTCTGGGGACCCACTAATGGAGCTCCATTTTGGAAATTTTGAGGACGAGAGGACTGTCGACCGTATAAGATCAGTATCCCACCATGAGCCCATCGTAAATTGTACATGGTAAGAAATTTTAAGTTTTCTGTCTCTCAGCAGTAGCCTTACCTGAAAATATGATTTAAATACTAAATGACAGCATTGAATTTTAATTAAGTACTTCAGTTTGTGCTTTACCATATTTTGCTTGTTCTGTCCTCAGGAAGTTTTGCTACACATAAACATCCTCTGCATTCAATTCATATAGCAACCTACTAATCCTTTTAGGTGAACTGAATCCATGTCCTCTTACCAAAGAGGTAGAAACAGAAGCATTAACTTATATGTAAATGACAGCATTTTGGTGTAGACACTGAGTGCTTTTGCTAGACAACTGACTCTTTTTTAATTATTGGTGACAAGAAAGTGTAAAAGACAAATAATCTAACACATAAGTTATCATTTTGTTTATCTAACATATGATGGTATTACAAAGATTCGATGTATTAGGCCACCTTAGGCCAGGATGTAGACTGGTACAGTGCTTGCTTAGCAGGTGCAAGGCCTTGGGTTACACACAGACACAAACATAGACACACACAGACAATCTCATGCATCTTACGTATTATCAAGGTACATGTTTTTAATCTTATTTTGGAAGATATCTGTGAAAGTCACATTTCTTGAAGTTACTACTGTAACAAAGTTTTCTTAATGGCAGGAAAAAATGTTTAATTATACTTTAACAATTTCCAATCTCAAGTATGTTTACTGCAGACATTTCCTATAGCAAGGGAATCATGAGATTTAAGTTAATTATTGTGTTTTGTATTTGAGTCTTAGACTCAGCTATTTTCTGGAGAGAATAATGGTCCTGCATATGGACAAGGAAATATGTTCTGTTGTTCTCGCTGCTCATCTTAATTTCAAACCAAAGTGTTTGTTAGTACCCACTCCTGCCAGATTATTCAAGCATATGGTTCTGAACTCAACTAGCAACGCAGACTGGTTGCACCACAGTTATGAATCAATTACTGTCACTGCTGCACTGTTGTTTGCAAACATTCAGGTTAGAAAAACGACGCAATGCATGTTTCAGGGACATGCCATTCATCCAGTCCCCCACATGCTCTGAAATTAATTGCTAGGTTGAGCAGGAATATGCTTGGATGTGAAAACAATTTGCAAAATGAATCTATTAACTTTCCTGGACTTCAGGTTCCAAAATGCAAAAAGAAGTTAGTTTGTGTGTCCAATTTACTCTCAATTGACTGCTATACCTCAAAAACTAGGTCTACAAGACAAAGAACAGTCCTACTTCTCTGTCCACCTATATTTCCAAGTATTTTTTGTTTTTCTATCAAGACTAACTAGATAATAACAATTCTACGTGATAAATGTTAAATTAGAGAAATGCAGATTTAGCAACATGAGAGGGGGCGCTTCTCCCATTTTGTGTGCAGAAGGGAAGGCAAAGAATCCTGAAGGACTCCCAGGAGTGTTGGAATACTGTACCCACTCTTAAAGGGTTACTGTGAAGCGGGCATCAAACAAGAGAAAGTACAGGAGCACACACCTTGAAGAGCTGAAAGAAGATGGCCCAGACAAAGTACAACTATGTCAGCTCTGGTGCCGCTGGATATCATACTGAAACTCCACATTGCCTTAGTAAAAACATGGATGTGAGATACATAGAAAAATGTCAGAGAAAGACCAGACTCCAAAGTCAACTGATTCAAGGGCTCAACTGTATCACTGAAGATCCTCATTTTTTCCCCTCTCATTTATGTCTTTCTTGGAGTTGGCTTTCCTGGCAGTAGGGCAGCTTAGTCTGAGAGGTGAGAGCAGCACTTTCTAGCATGGCAGTAAGACAACAGACTCAAGCAAGGAACATAACACATTTGCCTGTGTCCCTTCCTTAACAAGAAGGAAATGCCACTGTATGAGCCTTGAAGATTTCTTCTCATGTCTCAGAATCTTGGATTTGGACATGGGTCCATGCATAAAGCAATCGCCTACAGGCACCAGGGGGCTTAGCCACCACAGATTTAAGCATTTGGGATGCTGTGTGTTTGGAGGATAAATTTATACACACTGCTACCTTAATGCTGTACAGCACAAGCAGGCTAACCTGAACGCTTAGCATCTCGTTTGCCAAAGTATCACTGCATTTTTTATTTCAGCAAGACTGTTGTTTTTCCCTATTTTTAATGAACAGAAAAAGCAGTGCTGTTAGAAAATGATCAAATTGTTTCACCCTAATTCACTACGAAGCTCAAACTCATGCATTTTAAATAAAACTTACCAAAATCTACTAGCTTGACTCCACCCTCAGTGGTCAATAGAATGTTATTTCCTTTTACATCGCGGTGGATGGTTTTGTTGTTATGCAAATGTTGAAGTCCCTAGAAGGTGCGAAATACAAGGATTATCAAAATGTTTAAATTTAGAAAATTATTATGGTAAAAGACACATTACCATTACCCACTCCTTCAAAATACTCTTCTTTGGTTCAAACACACTTATCTCACAGGTCCTATTTTCTGAAGCAGTTCTGGGAGTCTGCCTTTGGGAGTGACTTGGTAAGCTGTGATAAAATATACTGTGAATGCTGTTGTCAAGTGTCATCCAATAGGAGGGAGACTCATAAAAATATTACGGTGTGTTCACATCCACTTTATTTACCAGATCTGGCATGTGCAACTTCAGGCTCTTCTGCAAAGTCAGAATGATCATGAAAGGTAAACACTTTCTGTCAACTCAGGACCTCAAAGCTGCCACGACAGTGGAACCTAAGACTCACAGAGGAATCTGAGAACTGTGTCAGAAAGTTGCAACAATAGGATAAATGTGTTTGAGGTGATGGAGAATATTTTCAGTATATTTACTGGCAATGTGAACTTTACTGTAATAAACTTAGAAAATTTAAACATACCGTATTTTATGATTATATAGGACCTCATATATTATGACTCTTAAAGCAACAAAAAATCATGTTTCAGATGATGCATTTTTGCAAAATCAATAGAGAATATACGATAAAAATCAGTATTATAACAGTCCTAAATATTCCACGTTAAATTATTAGTCAAATCAAAGTACATCATTTTGTAGTATAATATATTAAAATTTACAAATATATTTTGTAATACAATATATAAAAATTAACAGATGAACCTCAGCTTTTACCAAGTATTTTATTAAGTATGCAAGCCTCAATAGAAGAAAATATTCTACTTATCAAGGTAATAGTAAAAAGAACCCTGATTTTCTACCTTTTTCACTACCACAATGTGAGAAACACATTTAGGAGACTAGAACTCAGGATACTGTTGATATAGGAAAAGTAGGTATCTTAAGGAAAAAAGAATTTAGCTGTGCTAACCATTCCAGATGGACTATAACCTTGCATTGATAAATACTACTGGAGTGATATTTTTCTAAAACTAGGACCCATATTGAATGCAAACTGCTCATAATTAATACAGAGAATTTTAATTGCTTTACCATTAATGCTTCATGTAAAATATAGGCAATGATGGGTTCCCTCATTTTTTCTCTCCTCTTCAGAAAGCCTTTCACAAGGTCAGTTACTGCTCCTCCATTACACAGCTAGAAGAGATTTCAAGATGGATTTTAAAATGGATATGACACCTTCCACTATTTCAGTAAAAGCTTCCTACATTTTAAATGTTGTAATTTTGTTTTAAATGATCACTCTCATCTTCTCTGCAGTTCATAAATGAAATGAACATATAAATTCATGTATAACTGACCACTGGAACAGTCTTCATATAAAGTAATGTTTTGGAAGAGAATCTGGAGAAGCACCAGGCTTGCCTTTAAAAATTAAGAGGAAGAATTATGATTCTACAAATTATTCCTAAATTTTAGCATCTAATATAAGAGTAATGATTTGTGATGGTTCAATTAATAGTGCAATAGATTCTATGTGGCCAAAATACAGCTTTACACTTATGTGTGCTAATCTTAAAAATATGCCACCTTTTAGGCAAAATTTCAAAGTGCATTGAAATAAGGATTACAAGCAATGTTTCAGGAAACTGTTTAAACTATCATGTTCCCTATGCTTTTTGGGCATCTTCCCTTCTTATCCACCAAAAGCATGGAAAATCTAAACAGACAATAAGAGGAATAAACATGATAGAGAACTTTACCACATTTAGGTTCTTGAAAATAGGTTTTGTTACATCCCACAGAAACCTTCCAAAGGAGCTGTGTGGTGGTAAACATTGACATGCGAGGGGACATAAATGGATGGATGGCTCTGGGCCAGGAGAAGGTTGAGGATGCTCTGATCCCACAAGTCCTTGATTTCCTAATGTCTGGCCCTTCAACCTTTTCCTTCAGCCTTGCTGCTTCTCCCAAGGTCCGAGTGTGGTCCCTCTGCCCTTCATGATGGTATGTTAGGTCTCTGTCCCACATGCCTTTGGATACCTACCAGTGCCTGGCATCATTTCCCTGACCTTCTTCTAACTGAAGTGCAGGAAATGAGTTGAGAGCAAGTGTACTTTTAGTATCATTGTTTGAAATACTGAAGAAATTTGTTTTGAAGAAAAACAAATAGTACTTTATTAGAATGTGATGGATCAGATAATATAAAAACATTTCAAAGCAGTCATCAAAGTTACATTGAAAATAGGGACATTAAAATGAAAGTCATTCGGTTTGTACTGTTCCGGGGAGTAAATATTTCAAAATACTGAAGAAATTTTCTCAAAAATTTTAAAAATATAGCTGTTAAAATTGTTTTGTGCCTGAATGCTTGCTGGTGTATAATTAGTAGCTAAGATGCACTAAGTACTGGCAGAACATTCCTTATCCTTTGACATGAGGTATCTCTGTACCCCATTGTTATTCTTCCTGATGGAGGTTCTATCACCTCCAGGTTAAAGGTGGAGAAAATGTATGTACCACATTTGTGACTGGTGATTTTCTGTATTCAGAAAAAAACTTCTTTTAGCTAACACAGGAAGATGAGAAATCTGGATTTTAAATACCTGCATTTTGCTCTGTATAAGAAGGGGAACAGACCTTTAGATGGAAAAATGAAGAGGTGTTACTGCCCTGGTTGCTGGACACAGTCTGCCTCCAGTGTCACCGGTTCACAAAATTACTTAGCACTGATGGAGGAGAAATTGAGTCATTTAAAATTGTAAGCCACTTACTTAAAAGGGCCCAAGATTTAGAACTAGTTTAAAAATTCCAAACAATCATTGCAGGGAGATACATTTCTTTTTTCACTTGTCCAAAGTGTAGCCTCTCTTACCTGCACCTTCTGCAGTTTACAATTGGGACACAAAAGTGAGGTTGTCAGACTCAAAACGGAGTCACTTATTTCAGTTCTAATATAAATTCATTAGCTAATTAATTCAGGAGGTTATGAAGAAAGGATTCATACCTGTGTGACGGTAACTATCACAAAAACCTGTCAGGCATGTACCACCATGTGGAGCTTGGGGACTGTTTTATTACTAAGAATTCTTTTGATAATCTCAATACAATTCTCCTATCAGCCATGTGCTTGGTAAATGTTTTCTTCCAGTCTGTGACTTGGCCTTGTAAATGTTTTCTAAAGAGCAAAAGTTTGAAATTTATCATTTAAAAATGTTTATGGAATGTTCTTTTCCTGTCATAATCTAAGAAATCTTTGCTTAATTCAAGATCACAAAACTTTTGTTTTCTTCAGGAAGTTTTATACTTTTTGGTTTTACATAAATTTGTGACTCATTTTGATTTAATTTTTATACAGTGTGTGGATGGGCATTTAGATGTTCAATTACTTCTGCACACTTTTGGTTTTTTAAAAAATTTTTATTTTGGGGTAAAATTAAACACAACAAAACAAAAACAAAATAGGACGTAAGACAGCAATATAAGAAATACAAATTTCAAAGCTAGACGACCTGAGATCTTCACTGTCTATCATATTGTCTCTTGTTTTCTTCCAAATAGTTGTCCATGTCTTCCAATACAGAGAATTCATACAAAACAACATAGTATAAAACTGATCCAAACAGAATGAGGAAGGCGATTTAGGTCTTCAATACCAGACAATAGCGAAGTCACTAATGGCTGTTGTAGAGTCTCTCATTCTCTTCAAAATAGCTGTCCATACTTTCATGTATATTGAAATTCAAAAAAACAAATCAGGTAGTGGGGAGGGGTTGCTTGGTTTTCTGGAGCTCCAGGTCCCAGCATGGCGCAGGTCAGGCATGTACCAGTAAACGCTGGAGGCTCCTGTCCTGGGCCACAGCAGACTGCCAGGCTCACAGCCACTCACGGGGCGGGGTGGGGGGGGGTTTGTTTCTTTCTAATGAATTGTCCATTTCACTGCCCAAGTTCTGAAATGGTCAACAGATCATAGAAGGACATCTCTTTAGGCTCCTGCTTGAAACCAACAGCGTCAGGAAACCGCCGCCCTTGATTCAGGGCCAGTTTTGCATACTTTTGTATTTGACAAAAGTATCCAATAAAGATATATCCGAGTTGTGCTTAAAACCCACTGTCAACACTAAGCATGGGTGAAGCCCTAATGTTAAGTGAAAGAAGGTGATCTAAAAAGGTTACATACAATATGATGCTAATTACATAATGTCTGAAACAAAAAATTGAAGACAATAAAAGGAATCAGTGGTTTCTAGGGGTTAAGGGAATGAAAAAGTAGGGCAAAGATTTTTATGCCACTGAATTTTTAATGCCATTTTTATGCCAAATGTGTAAATACTTGTGTCCCCCCTTATATTATCATGTAAGGGGGGACACAAGTATTTACACATTTGTCAGAATCCAAAAAATGTACAATATTTAAAGAGAGAATCTGAATTTAAATTGTAGACACTAGTTAATCATAATGTATCATTAGTGGCTCATAAATTATAAGAAATGTACCTGGCTAATCAAGATGTTGGCATTAAGAGAAATTAAGAGGTGGTGAAGGGGTTAATTGGAATGCTCTCTGCTTTCTGTTTAATTTTCCAGGAAACTTAAAGCTGTTCAAAAAATAAGATCTATTCATTTTCTTTAAAAAAAAAAAAAACTCCACAACTAATTGCTAACAGTAAGAATATGGCCAGGGATTTAAACAGCCAGCATTTTGGCACACTCCTGTAATCCTAGCACTCAAGAGGCTGAGGCAGGAGGATCACTGCAAGTTCAAGACCAGCTTGGGCTACAGAGTGAACTCAAGGCCAGCCTGAACTACATAGTGAGACCCTGTCTCAAAATAAAACACAAAACAAAAACAAAAAACCAAAAAGGACCTGAAATAATAAGGAACATATAAAATTAATTCAAGTTCAATACAAGTAAAGCACCTTTACAGTGTCTTCTTAGAAACTATTTATTCATAGTTGAATGTTATATACAATAAGTTTTTGCAGAGGGAAATTACTGACCCAGAAAGTATTCTTGATATGAGACACACACACACACACACACACACACACACACACACATATAGTCGCTATAAAATTTCATTATATTGCTCAGTGAAAATTTGATATTTAGAAAAATCATTTGCCAATGACAAATAAATATATGATCAAAAGTTGTGGCTATAGTTCAGTGTCACAACCACCTGCTTGGCAAGTGTGAGGTTGTGAGCACGATCCTGGATACAAAAAAAAAAAACACTCCAACATCATTGGTCATTCAAGAAATGCAAATTCAAACAACACTGAGATACCATCTCACTCTGAAAAAAAGGTTATTATTAAGAAATCAACTAATAAAAAGTGCTGGAGTGGCTATAGGGAAAAAGGAACCCTTCTCTACTGTTAGTGGAAGCATAAGCTGTGGTCAGTGTGGCGATTCCTTAAAAAACTAGGATTGGAGATCCCATTAGACCCAGCTATTCCACTTCTGGGTCTTTCCTAGAAGAATTAAAAATATCATACCACAGTGATATATGTGCACCCATGTTTATAGCAGCACAATTTGTAATAGCTAAATCTTGGAAACACCCTAAATGCCCATCAACTGCAGAATGGATAACAAAAGATGTGGTATTTTTATACAATGGAGTACTATTTAGCTATAAAGAAGGATAAATTTGAGGTTTTTATAGGTAATGGATTCAACTAGTGACCATACTCATAAGTGAAATAAGTCAAACATACATGTGTAAACATTGTATCATTTCCTTAGTGCAAAAACTAAAAGAGCAAATAAGATCCAAAATGTATAGTATATATTGTGAAAGCAAAAGGGGAAGAAACTGCTCAAAAGGAAGGAACAACTGGAATGCAGGAAATGAGAAAACAGAAGGGATAAGAATACATACATAAATGTATCCTTATGTATATATGTATGTATGTGTGTATATATATGTGTGTGTATATATACATGATAGAATAACTATGGTACTAATCTCTATTAGTTCATCAAACAGAACGGCTTGTGCTTACACTGTCTGATCAATTTCTCATGTTGTTATCTTGTAATCTGAGAAACTATTTTTAAGATAACAATGCACAATATATTAGTCATTGTTGATCTCTTATTACCTTGCTTTGAAATTCTGTACCACTGTTTTTATTATTTTATTCAAAATTAAAAATAGAAAAATCATGAATTTTTTCCTTCACATTCAACAAATATTGACTTGTTAATACATTCAAAACAGTAAGACGGGTGTTAAGGTGGATCAACAATGACAAGGAAAGCTTCTGCTTCTAAGAAGGATACAAATACAGTTAAAACTGTGGCTTTCAACCAAAAGAGATTTTGCTCTCGGGGAAACTTCACTATGTCTGGTTGGGGAGCTGCTGCTGGCATCCAAAGCCAGGGATGCTGACCAATAGCTAAGGGCTGGGGATTTAGCTCCATGGCGTAAGTACCTATTTGGCAAGCACAAGGTTGTGAGTTCGATCCTTGGTTCCAAAAAAAGAAGTATTAAAAATATCTAAAATGAGCAAGAATTCTCCTTCCCATGATAAAGAGCTCATTCAGGCCAACATGTCTCCACTCCAAGAGGGATAAGGAACAGTTACCTAGATTATATGCTAGGTCTTGGATCATGATTATGTGTGCTAAGTACTACAGAACTTCACAGAAACATTGCCAATACTGAGTTGGAAGGCAAAAGAAAAGATTTTAAACAGCAGAAGGGATCTGCTGTGATGTACGTATGTTGATGCCAGTTTTCTCCAGATTTTCTTCAGTACAATTACTGTGGTTTGATGTCTTCCAGGGTACAGAACAATATTTTGGCAGGGCGAGGGTAGATGATTTAGTTTTACTGATTCTGTTTTTTATATTCATTGGTCTTTTTTTTTTTTTTTTTTGGTAACACTAAGAAGAAAGGCTTTTCTCCACATACACAATATTTTGTAACCACTACAAGGTGATAGTTAAACCATTTCCAATGACTTAAGCGCAGTAAATTTTTATACACAAGTATGTATATTAGAATCCAAACAGAGAGCATTTTAATGGTTAAAAAAGGAAAAAATTATTCTAGTAACCACAGACACTATTAATAGTGAATGAGCCACTGAATTGGTTTGCCAGCGGGAACAGAAACCTCACAACTGATTGTATGCTAAATGCAGTTTTTAGTAATGGTGAAATATGAGTCACTCTCATCACAAAGATCAATGAAAGTCACAGTAGAATGTAAAGTGAAAGACATGAACACTAAGTCTCTTAAGAAGTCTCTGTAAAGTTCGTAATGAAGGAAAAGAAAAAAATGATTTCATACTCTGCTTTCACAAATCTAAGTAAACAAAATGGAGAAAAAATATAGTCACAAACTTCCACAGAGTAAAGTAGTAAACAAGAGGCCATAATAATAGTCTGCATGGACCAAAACTACAAATCATCACTATCTTCTTACCGAAAACCGACACATAGAAACCTACTGAAAATATAAAAATTGTAAGCAAATAAACAATCTTGCTCCATGAAATTTAAATTTTATTCACTGAATTTAACGTGATAAATTCTCTTAAAAAGCTGAAATACCGAAGCAGTTCAATTAAGACAGTAATTCCTACATATGATCTATTATTGCCTAATATGCTAATTGATATTACCTAAGCACACTTCCTACAAACAAGAGAGTACCATGTTAGGAGTTATACCAAAAGAATCACTTGTTTTTTCAGATGAAGTCACTTTGAAACCCCCAAATTATGAGTTACATAATATGAGAGAAATAGAATAAATTATGAAACATACTCAAATTTAACTTACTAATATTCAAATTTAACTTAATATATTGGAGAACATTAGACACCTTTCTTGTATGATTTCCACTATACTGTTTGTTATATGCATTGTGAAAAATAACTCATGTTTAGAAACTGAGGTTTGGGAGCAAAAATAATTTATATAAAATTCCAGAAAAGTAACACTGAAATCAGAGAAACAGACTTCAACTATATCCCCCATAAAACACAGAATCTCTTACACATTACCCTGGCAAGACACCTTGTCTTCTACCTGGCAGCAGTGGTGAGACGGAGAACATGAGAGGGAAAGAAGCTAAGTGTAGTAATGTGCACCGACAGTCCCAGCTATCTGGGAGGCTGATGCAGGAAGATCAGGAGCCCGGCTTGGCTGACAGAGTGAGACCCTCACTCACACACAAAACTTCTGTGTGTCTATTACGTAAAGAACAATCAGTGCAAGCTTTAAACTTCTTATATTTATGAATCCATAAGTTATGAAGGATCAATGCAAATCTAAATTCTTCCCTTCAAAGTCTCAAATTTCCATTTTGTATCGCTTGAGATCCACAAATTTATTTATGTATTCACTCATTTGTTTTATTAAGTTATATTAAGAAAGATATCCTTGCAATTATTTTAATGACACTAGAAAATCACAAATAACAAAATTGTAGTAATCAAATATTTTTCTATGATTTTATTTTTGAATACCTATTAGCTTATCTGCTGTACTATGGCTGTGCATAGTACATATTAGGGGAAATCACTAGTGAAGCATTAGGGGAATCCTGATGGAAGTAATCTAGGTTCTTAATAATTCTCCCCGTCCAGCAATGTAGTCACTGCAGGGGATTTACTTCTCTATCACTTAAGCAGCAACAGTAGCTTAATTTTTAGAATACAAGAGGGTTTTCTGAATGAAACTTCAAGAAACAGATTGCAATGCAAAACAAATGTGAGGGGGGAACACAATGAACATGGAAATGACATTAAGTACAAAATCAATACATCAAAGATTACTTTCTCTCTAAAAATCTTCCTAAAGATCATCCACATCTGACCACACCATGAACACCCTAATTGCTCACTGAGAACTAAAATCTCAATGAAATTTACTTTTATTCTAATTAACATAAAATGCTATAAATGCTTATATATAAAGAAAAATAACAGAGTAACCATGAAACTGAAGTATGAATTTGTTCTTAATGAATGAATGATTAAATTATATAAAGGAAAATATATTCTTTAATTGGGCAATAG